TTCAATAATACCTAGATAATTTCTCTTGTAAAATTTTTTACCTTCAGTTGTTTGAATATATTAAAAACAGAAAATAAAGGTACGGTCGTCCGGATGATTGGAAATGACAAATTGCAGTACATCATAATATACGTTGTTGTAATACCTACTTAGTTATTAAAATCAACCTTCTAAATTAGCGAGTTGTCAACTTATCATATATTCCGCTCTTCAATAACATAGATAAAAAACAATCACAAGATAAAAAAGGAAGACTGGCTCCCCTGTACTACCGTATAAAATTACCTAGACAGTCGAACTAAACCTTGTCATAAGCATATAGCACCTTTTTAGTATCATTATAATGTTAATGTAAATAAATTTGATTTACTGGTATTAGGTTAGTATAATACATTTAAATTTTACTTTGGAACAAAAATAAAGCGGTATTTATTACTAATGCATTAATTCAATTATATTTACATTTTAAAGTTTTACTGCTTAATATTACAATTTACAAAATAAGATCTTAATTTCGAGCTTCCAACGTGGTATTGAATACCTCCTGAGAAATTTAATATTACTTCTGATTGATCAATCTTGACAAAAAGGGTCGGTTTGAGAACTGACTCGATCTCAGCTAGAACTGACCAATCCACTTGAGTTGCTCGGTTCGGCTCAAAAATAAATGGGACTAGACTAAACATTCAGTTCTAAAGTTAACTCGTGAAGCAAAAATAAAGTCACATTTAATTGATTTGCATTACTGTATAATAAATGATTTTTTTATGACAATCTGCGTGACATATTGTAAATTTTTTTTAAAAAAAAAATTGTGTAATTTTTATATAGTCTGTACGGCATATTGTAAATTTACGCAAAATTAATTATATTACATATAAAATGTTTAAAGGAATTAATATTAAGTGATTAAGTGAACAAAAATATTTATCGTTATGCATAAACCCAAGAACTTTGTACTTGGCAAGATTTTCATATACGCATTGATTCATTTGTTTCACCACCATATGAATTCATAATAACAATTATTTTTTTTTTTAATTCATATAAATATTTAAATATTTATTATTTCCAAAAAGGAAAAAACTAAGTCTTTAATGAAAAAAATCACTTTATCAAAACCATGCAAGAAATTAAATAAAGAATTATATTTCAAAAATTGGCACCCAAATGTTTATTTACAAAATGTTAGAACATTATCAAAGAATGATTTTACTCTGGCAGAAGAACAATATATATGGTCAATGAAACTAACCAACAATAATTAAAGTTTTATTTTTTTTTGTCTATTTTTGTTACTATAGGTATATGTTAGATTTGTTTAACAAATATAAAATAGAGGAGGTAATGAAGGTGAAAACAAAGTGTTAGATTTGTTTGAAGGAATATTTTATCGAGTTTATCGAATAGTATGTGAAATCTTACCTTTGAGAATTTCAGGAAATTCACATCATCGTACAAGTGCCTTTCTCGCTCAATTGTTTAAGACTATTTGAAGAATGCTCTCAAACTAAGGAAATGTTATTGACATGACAAAAAGAATAAAGAATAAAATCAACCATTTATAAATGATTGAGCATCAGTATCGATGATGTAACCATACTCCCCAACGTTCATTTGTTCATTGATTAAAAGAATGTTTTATTTAAAGAATATTTCTGTGACCCTTTATACTCAATTAATGGAAACACCAGTTAACCGGATGGAACAGCTGAGGAATATATTGCCGCACGATAATTTTCTCCACAAAGAAATAATTAAACAATTCGAGAATTTTCGATTTAGATGTTTATTCATTTTTCTTGTATTATATTATTGATGTATTTTATGTTATTTTTTATAATCTATATTTTTTTTGATATGTATTTTTTTTTAGAAACAATTTAATGTAATTTATTTTTATATAAATAAAGCTCTGCCTTGATGCCTTGATGCAAACTGAGAGAGTGAGAGTTTTACTAGAAAAAACTATAATAAGATTTGAATATTGATCTTTTCGTGATTAACAACAGGAAAGCTAACGTACTGTTCTTGTTGCCTTTACGTTTGCTTTGATCATCGTAAATCGTGTGACCATAACCTTCTGTTTACATTTTTTAAACCTGAGGTCGACGTAACATATATTCGAACTAAGGAATTTTTAGATTTGTTAAGCTGTTATCAAATATTATATAAAATAAAATTAAAGTTACCAAAAATATATTCGAAATATATAAATTGTAGATTTTTTCTTTTTTAGATAAATTGGATCAAAGTTGAACAGAAATTAATTTTAAATATTAAAATTAATTTTGGATATATGAATATACTTAACTATAACGAATTTGAAATATGTTAAAAAAGGGTGGAAGGAAAAATTAATCGTTATTTCTAGATATTAATTACAAAATGTGGCTCTAAAATAGATCTTGATTACAAACGCAAAAATATTATCTAGAAATGGTATTTGATTTAAAACATTCGATTTTTTGGAATATCATAATATGCTATGGCAAGCCGTACTGGTCAAAAGGTTGATAACTTTTCATCATGTTTCATGATGATTTTTCATCATGTTTCATGATAACTTTTCATCATGTTTCATGATTTTATTTATTTATTTATTTTATTACTAAAAGAGTGTTAAAACCCAGGCTATTACAAATAGAAGAAAAAAAGAATTCGAAAATACTTAAAGCTAATATATGTGTATAGACCTTTGTTCGTCATCCCCTACGGGACCCCACTCTTCGATCTGTACTCTTTGATAAAGTAGGACTACGCTAAAAAATCAAATGGGAACCATAAAAAAAACCATCTGAGAGACTAGCGGCTATCTAAAAAAAAGAAAGTTAAAGGGCGGCTAATATAGTCTAACTTTATCTACAGTATGTGGTGAGCGAAGAGGTTATATGGTGTAATAAAACAAATTATGATCAAAAGTAATAGAATCTATAAAAGTAATTGATAAAGATTTAATCCATGGTAGATTATGGCGAAAATTACTACTAGTTAAATATATCCAAAATATAGAATCATCAAGATTTCTAATAGAAGTCATGAATGGATTAATATATCCAATATTTGTGATATTATGATTAGTGTTGTCACCGAATGTCGGGTTATCATTATCGAGTTGACGTCGTTTCTTTCATTGTTTTGGTCGTTTTTTTAAAAAAGATTTTTTCGTTATACCATTAATAATCTTATGTTCTTTCCATTTGATATTGCGAGCTTTCCATAGTTGATCGTAAATATCATGATGTAAATCAAATAAAAATGAAATAAGTAATTTTTTGATTAACTTTTTGTGAATTTTTGCACCTTTGAACGGAGATAAGAGACATTCCGGGACCAGATTAATCAGGAGGCAGTGCAATTCTGGCGCATCAAGAATCGAATTGATAGGAGAATTAAAGGAAGTGAATATAGGAATATCAAAATCGATATTATTAATATTAATTTTTTCTTTATCCATATTGTTGATAATATAAGAACGAAATTTCTGTTCATGGTTTCTGAATATGGATTTCAAAATCTCTATCGACTTTGGGCAAATCCAAAAATGTTCATTAGATTCTATAGCTGAGGAACATAAAAAGCATGAGTCATATCCATTAAGGATATCCGGGAAATTCCGGTTAAGAACGTCCAACGTAGGTAAAGCATAATTTGAACATTTGATACGCCATCCAACGTGCTTACTATACGATTCACTTGTAGTTTTTTGAAAGGGGTTATGATTAATCCATAACTGTGAGTACAGTCCCCTCTCGATATAACGAACCCTAGGTTCCAGCTGATCAGGGCTTCGTTATAAGCAACTTCGTTAACACTATAACGAATTATTCGGTATTGTATAATGAATTCTTCGGTATAGGAATATCGGTTATACAGATCATGTGACTTGTTGATCTGATTACCGATAATTTAACATTTTTTTTAATCTTTTTTTTATAGGGGTGCTTTCTAA